GAGGAGAATAACGTGTGGGAGGAGCAGAAGCAAATGAGGAAGGAGGAGGAGGAGGTGGCGGAGGAAAAGGAAGGGAACTAAGGAAACGGAGGAAAGAGACAGGCGAGGGAGGGGGGGGGGAGAGGACGAAGGAGGAGGAAGACGAGAAGAAGGAGGAGGGGAAGGAGGAGGAGCAGGAGGAGGAGGAGGAGGAGCAGAAGGACGGACAGATATATGTATATATACACATAAGAAAAGGCCTGCCTTGATACTTCTGCCAGGGTCTTGCCGTGATCTCGGCTGGAACCAAAGCGCGCGCGAAGCGCGCGCGAAGGTTCTAGCCTATATCTATATATGCATACAGGTGTATAGATATGTGTGTATATATACATATATAGGTAGAGATGGAGAGAAGGATATAGAGAGATATAGAGATATATACAGAGAGAGAGGGGGGGGGTCTGATGAGGGGCCGTAGGGGGGATCTGGAGTTCGATCAAAAGGCCCGTCATATTTGGCTGGTGCCTTCCTGAAACCATCAATGAAGTGGAACGGGGCGACTGCGAATGGATGGTGATGGTGATGATGAGGAGGGGGGCCAGGACGTGCAGGGATGCGGATGCGGAGGGGGAGGAGGAGGATGATGGGGAGGAGCAAGGGATGATGATGCTGCTGATGATGATGATGGTGATAATGGCTATGACGATGATGATGATGATGCTGATGGTGATTATGATGATTATGCCGATGCTGATGACGATGCTGATGCTGCTGATGGTGAAGGTGCTGCTGCTGATGAGGCATATGATGACGCTGATGACGGGGATTCTGATGCTGATGTTGATGTTGATTCTGATGATGCTGATGATGTGGATGATGAGAATGATGCTGAAGCATATGCTGCTGTTGATGATGATGCTGCTGATGATGATACTGCTGCTGATGATGCTGATGCTGATGCTGATGCTGCTGCTGATGATGATGCCTATGACGATGACGATGATGACGATGACGATGGCGATGATGATGGAGAACAATCAGAGGATGCTGTTGATCCTGATGATAATGCTGACGCTGACGATGATGCTACTGATGACGCTGATGCTGATGATGATGCCTTTGCAGCTGATGCTGATGATGACGATGATGATGATGATGATGCCGATGATGGTGATGCTGCTGGTGCTGCTGATGCTGCTGCTGACGCTGCATATGATGATGCTGATGCTGATGCTGATGATGATGCTGCTGATGGTGACGATGATGATGCTGCTGATGCTGCTTGTGAAGATGATGACGATGATGATACTTATGATGATAAGGTTGATGATTATTGATGATGATGCTTCTGCTGATGCTGATATGCTGATGGTGGTGGTGGTGGTGATAATGAGATGGTGTTGATGATGATGATGATGATGATGATGATGATGATGATGATGATGATGTTGTTGACGATGATGACGATTATGATGATGATGATGATGATGCTGCTGCTGATGATGATGATGTTGCCGATACTATTGATGATTATGATGATGCTGACGATGACGATGCTGTGGTGGATTATGATGGGGATGCGGCTGCTGGTCAGGAGGAGGATGTATATGATGAACAGAGTGATACGGATGATGCTGATGATGATACTGATGCTGCTGCGGCTGCCGCTGCTGCTGATGATGATGATGATGATGTTGCTGCTGATGATGCTGCTGCTGATGATGACGGTGGTAATGATGCTGATGATGCTGCTGCTGCTGCTGATGATGATGATGATGATGATGATGAGGAGGATTAGGATGAGGATGATGATGAGGATGAGGCGCAGGAGGAGGAAGAGGAGGAGCAAAAGGAGGGGGATGAAAAGGAGGAACAAGGTCGGAGGAGGGAGGAGGATGGAGCACATCCTAACATGCCTTGTCCCACTTGAGGGTAATGAAGATGCGGACCGAGGGGTTTGATAACGAGGTGAAGGAGGAGCTGTATGAGGATGGAGCGGCGGAGGATCGATGATCTAGGCTGGCGGCGGCGGCGACGACAGCGACGACAGCGACGGCGACGACGTCCAGTAGGCATCAGGACACCTCTGGAGGCCATAGGGGGCCACTCGCGCCCAAAAGTGGGCCTATCGTTTGGCGGCGCCGCCGACGGCGACGATTGAACGACCACGACCACGATCACGACCAGCACGACCACGACCACGACGGCGACGACGACGACGACAATCGGCACGTCCACTGCGGCGGCTTCGGCGGCGGTGGCCTCGACGGCGACAACGATCACGACGGCGGCCGCGGCGGCCGCAGGCGGTCGGCGGCGCTCGCCGCGACTACTCCGCGAAGGAGAAGGCGCGTCGCGCGGCGCGCCGCCGCGAGGACCTCGAGGCGAAGAGTGCGCGCCGCCCTTCGGCGGCTCCTCCGCGGCCGGGATTGCGGCTGGCTGATGCTGCTGGTGACGATGTTGCTGATGATGATGCTGATGCTGATGCTTTCGATGTTGATGATGATGATGCTGATGCTGA